AATGCTCATTCTCTGGCTAGTATAGTGCAGATATTCTTTGGGCATTCAAATGTGCAGTTTGCACCCTGCCTCCCGCCCCCCGCCAAAAAAAGGTTACTTATGCTGGAGTGTGGAATCTACCTTAATATTCCTTTAACATGCCAAACCGGTTTGGCTCAGTGGATAGAGCGTCGGCCTGCGGACTGAAAGGTCCCAGGTTCGATTCCGGTCAAGGGCATGTACCTTGGTTGTGGGCACATCCCCAGTAGGAGGTTCATTCAGACTATTATTTTTAGCATTGAAAATTGTTCATAATATACTTTTTTCCTTCCAAGACCGAGTTATTCTGTAATTAGTATTCAAGCTCTACAAAAAAAGGATGTTAATATACAATTATAACTATAATCACAGACAAACACTGAAGTGGAAGGAATTTTCTAATATATTAATGTTTTTTTTATTGGAAATTATATTTTCTGCTTTCTCTTTTCAAAGTTACTGGCATTCCCATTCACAAGAAATGTGAAAGATGCCACCTTAATCACTAAATAAATTCACATATAAGCAGTCATCATTCCATGTGAACATGTTACTCTGGGAACAGATTTTTAGAATACAAACCCCTAAGGACAGTAAACTAAATGTTTTATATATTGCATATATATTGGGTTTATGTATGTTTGCTAGGGTTATATCCTCTTGTTGTGTTAATCCCTTTAGTATTATGTAGTGGCCATCTTTGTCTCTTTTTACAGCCTTTGCTTTGAAGTCTATTTTGCCAAGTATAAGTATTGTTACCCCTGCTTTTTTTTCTTTTCCATTTGCATGGAAAATTTTTTCCCATCCCTTTACTTTCAGTCTGTGTGAATCTTTTGTTTTGAGGTGGGTCTCTTGTAGACAGCATGTATATGGGTCATGTTTTCTTATCCAATCAGCTACTCAGTTCTTTTGATTGGAACATTTACTCCATTTACATTTAAGGTTATTATTGATAGGTACTTATTTACTGCCACTTTTTTCTTTATACATATGTTCCTCTCTCTCAATTTCTTCTTCTTTTTCTTAAAGCACTCCCTTTAGCATTTCCTGCAATCCTGGCTTAGTGGTATATACTCCTTTAGCCTTTTTTTTTTTTTTTTTTTTTTTGGGTTTTTTTTTTTTTTTTTTTTTTTGGGTTTTTTTTTTTTTTTTTTTTTTTGGGTTTTTTTTTTTTTTTTTTTTTTTGGGTTTTTTTTTTTTTTTTTTTTTTTGGGTTTTTTTTTTTTTTTTTTTTTTTGTCTGGGAAGCTTTTAATTCCCCTTCAATTTTAAATGATAGCCTTGCTGGATAGGGTAGTTTTGGGTTCAGGTCCTTGTTTTTTATTACTTTGAATACTTCATGTAAATCCCTTCTGGCCTCAAGTATGTCTTTTGAGAAATCAGCTGACATTCTAATGTTATTCTAAAGTTACCTTGTCAGTAACTTTCAATCTCTCTCTTGCTGCCTTTAAGATTCTTTCTTTGTCTTTAATGTTTGACATTTTTATTATGATGTGTCTTGGAGTGGGTCTCTTTGGGTTCATCTTGATTAGAATTCTCCGTGCTTCCTGAATTGTGTAACTTTTTCCTTCACCAGGTTAGCAAAGTTTTCTGTCATTATTTCTTTGAACAGGCTCTCCATTCCTTGCTCACTTTCCTCTCCTTCTGGCACCCCTATGATGCAAATGTTGTTACATTTCATGTTGTCCCCAAGTTCCCTTAAACTATTTTCCTGCTTTTCAATTCTTATTTTCTTTTTTGCTGCTCTAATTATGTTTTGTCCTCCAAGTCACTGATTCGATCTTCTGCCTCATTTAATCTACTTTTTTTTCCTTCCAGTGTATTCTTGATGTCAGATATGTTATTCTTACTTTTCAACTAATTATTATTTCTGGTTTGTATTTCTTGTTTTATACTACTGTAGTTCCCACTAAGTTTCTTGAAATTCTCACTAAGTTCATTGAGCATCCTATAACCATTACTTTGAACTCTATATCTGATAAATTGCTTGCTTCCATTTCATTTAGCTCTTTCTGGAGTTTCCTCTTCTTATTTCATTTGGGAGTTGTTTCTCTGTCTCTCCCTTTGTATTTGTTTCTGTGTATTAGAGCAAATTGCTATGCCTCCCAGTCTTCATAGGATTGCCTTACAAGTAAGTATTTTGTGGGGTCCAGTGGTGCAATCTCTTAGATACCCCAAGCTGGGTGATCCAGGAATGTCCCTGGTTGTGAGTTATTTGTGCTCTCCCGTTATAATTGGGTCCTGAACGCTGCTGTCCTGTTCATGGGAGGAATCTCCTCTCAGGCTGGCTGACATTTAGGCTCACCCCTGACTAAGTTGTGAGAGCTGTTGTGCAGGTGCTGGCAGAACAAAGCAAAACACAACAAAACAAGAAACAAAATAAAAACATATACAATCCACCTACAACAACAACAAATGTAGCCACAAAAGAAGAGAGAATTAGGAAGGAGAGTGATCCAGAATCTTACTCTGCCCTCAGCTGGGCAGAGATCCTCGTATGCAATCCAGTGGGATCAGCTGGAAACCTGGAATTTCTATCATCTCTCCTATGAGGGGAAAGCACCAGACAGGTTCCTGGGTTGGTGGGATGGTTATCAGCCAAGTGACTGATGCTTCCTGAGACTGTTCAAACCTATAGGCTTGGCCTCTGATTTTGTCTCCCCTGCAAAGCTCAAGATGCAGGGCTCCTGAGGGTGAGGCTGGATGTATCGCCTAGGGTGGGTTTTTTTTTCCTTTTCCTGAGCTGTGGCTACTAGAATGGGCCAGAGCCTCTGAGGAAAATGGCCATTTCAGTTTGTGAGGGTGCAACCGGATGCAGGTCTCTCAGCCACCTCTTTTCCATGCCTCCCCCCACCCAGTATTTCCTACCCCAGCCTTTCCTCGGGTATCTTCAGTTCACACCACTCTCCCTCCACTGAAGCCTGGGGTAAGTCAGTTGCTAAAAATGAAAATCCTGTGCTCTGGGTTTAAAAACAAACATTAGTTGCTAAAAATGAAAATCCTGTGCTCTGCGTTTAAAAACAAACAAGAACAACAACAAAAAAACACCCTGCAGCTTTATGTCTGACGGGCTCCACACTCCCTGGTGGTCAGTGGTCCTGCTGCCTTTCATAGCTGGATGTTACTCGGGTCACTGGTCTTGGCTCTAGTGCTCTAGTATGAGGAGTCAAGCCTGGGTCCTGGGCCTCCATCTTCTCAGGGGAAAAACCCTCCTGTAGCCGAGAACTTCCTCTTCACTCTTGGCCTGCTGCCTGTGAAAGCTGGGTCAGCCTTTCTCATGACCTCGCCCTTCCCACTGGTCGCCAGGCGTTTTCTGTCTTTCCTTGATATAAGCCTTCTCCTCAGCTGGACCTCAATTGGTAATTCCAGATGAATGTTCCCCACTTTAGTGGTATTTCTAGTCTGGCCCTGGGAGGATGTGCAAGAAAGGTCTGCCTATTTGGTCACCACCTTTCTGTCTCTTGCTATTTTTTTATTTAGCTATTATTGACATATATGAGTTTCAGGTGCACCACATAATCCTATATAATAAAAGGCTAATATGCAAATCAACTGAATGGTGGAATGACCGGTCACTATGATGCGCTCAATGCAGGAGCTGCCCCCTGGTGGTCAGTGCACTCCCACAGGGGGAGCACTGCTCAGCCAGAAGCC